GAATCTATATAGACTGTAATCTTAATTGGAAAAGTCATATTCAACATATTTCGAAAAAAATCAAGAGAAGTATTGGAATCATAGATCACTCGGTGTTACTGAATAAACTAGCTGCTTTAGGAATCGTAAATCACGAACTTGTTTGGTTTGAGGATTATTTGCATAATCGAAATCAAATTGTTGGGTACCAGGGCGTACATTCGAAGGCTGAGTATCTAACATCTGGTGTTCCACAGGGCTCACTACTGGCCCCCCTGTTGTTTGTTCTGTATGTTAATGATCTTCCAAGTGTTGTTCGTAATTGTAAAATACTAATGTATGCAGACGATAATACTGTTCTATTCTACCCAGATTCAGATGTTGCAGATTAACAACAGCAGCTTAATGATGATCTCGATCTCATTGGAACCTGGCTACTTGATAATGGCCTATTTGTTAACACCTCGAAAACCGAATCTATGTTATTTGGAACTCCTGCAAGGTTATCTCGTGTTGATGAGTTTGCTATTTTCATGAATGGTCGTCTTATAAAGTGTGTGTACGAATTCAAATACCTTGGAGTCATGTTCGATGAATGTATTACATGGAAATCCCATGGCAAATATATCCTATCCAGAGCTGGGAAGAGACTGGGCATGTTAGGACGTATCAGAAATGATTTAACACCTCACTGTGCAAATATTGTCTATGTATCATTCATTCGCCCTATTCTTGAATATTGTGATACAGTATGGGATCGCTGCGGTGCTGGTAATGCCTAAGTCTGGAAAAGCTTCAACGGCGTGCTGCTAGGATTGTGTCCAGAATACCAGAGTGATAAAGCAATGAACATGTTGAAGTGGCCTTCTCTGCAGAGTAGGCGAGACGACAACATTTTTAAATTAGTCAATAAATGTATTCAGGGACGTTGTCCGCAACTTTTTAAAAATTATTTTACTTTTAACAGCTCGGTACATAGTAGAGTGACTAGGCAGAGTCATAAACTGCATTTGCCTCAAGTACAAACTGAACAGGCAAAGAAATCCTTTTATTACAATAGTTGTGTTGTATATAATAAGTGAAAATAGTTTTATTCTCTAGTATATATATATAGTATATTGTTTTAATACCTAATTACATCGGGTCGGTACGACACTGAGGTCATAAATTCGGCTCCTATTTTTTTTTTTCCCATTTGTGTCGAGCCGCGCGCGTAGTCGAAGAGCCTGCTTAGCTGGATAACTATTCTCGAGTATATGTTGATATAATGCACAATACTTTGTATGCATAGCATGGGAATACCGCGGCCAACTTTCACTTGTTATCTGTTATAATTACTGACCCGAATCAAAAGTAATTATTTTCGGCTGGAAGACTACTGTACGTTTCTGCTTGTCGGGACCGTATGACAATGAACCTATCCAACGTTACACTAGACATTTGTGAGGACATGCATATAGACATAACCATAGGCACTGTAGTGCATTGTGATAGAACAGATTTCAGTTTAATTAATCACCCTAAATTAAAATCTCCACAAGCGGAGGTCAATTATAGTGTTCTAGTTTACATATTATCATTAATGATAAGGTTTACTCAAATAGCGTATTGGATAAACACGGGAATAGAACTTATGGTGTATTCTGCACATGCGTATATCTAGGATAAAATCCCACAAGTGCAAACGAAACTATTTCTCTATAAAATTGAACTGAAAAGACTCATAGCGACCGTTTCCAACAGTGCTTCAGGCACCCGACGACACCGTATGGGGGGGCCTTTAGCACTGTCACCTTCTCATCTTGGGATGTTCACGTTATCGCGTGTACATGTCAGGGTGACGAAGATGCATTATTGCTAATAATGTCTGTGTGCACTGATGCACGCTGCATTATTTTTAATAATGTTGTGTGCTATTTTAACGCGTACATAGAATATGACGCGTATAAACATTTACCCCTGAGCCGGAATTTCCCTATACAACCAAAAAGGCTGCTCCCGTTTTTCAGTAGAACGTTAAATGAAAACTTCTCGACATTCGCTGATATAATGCAGAGAGAAAACAATAGGTTTGATGAGGGCCAGTAATTATTATCAATAAAATATTAAAACGGAGCTTTGATTAACTAATTCACCATTTATGCTAGTGAACTATTAAACTATCGTGATTTACACAATTTTTGGATATTTACCAGACCATCCCCTATCCACCGACCCGAGGTTAACGCCGAGTCGGCGTCTTGTTGTCATATAGCATGTAAAGATTGTATTTTTTTTAAATAGCTGGGCTCCAGTTGATAGCAGTAGTTTTTACTACTGATTGGACTACCCTGTTTAAATAAAGGTGTCAATCAAAACAAAAAATTCGCCATTTTGTTACCTCACACGTAATTACACAATTTTATTATTCCTTAATTTACCCATATTCGACATATGGAATAACGTTGTGGGGAAACACTATATTTCAAATCTTAACCCTATAATAACCTTACAAAAAAAGTAGTTCGAATTATTACCTTTTCTAAATTTGACGATCATTCTAGTCCTTTATTTAAAAATCTTAATATTTTGAAGCTTGTTGATCTTGTTTTTCTAAACAACGCTTTATTCATGTACGATTATCATAACGGAAATCTTCCTGCTACATTCAATAACATATTCAAACAGGTCACATCAGTACATAATCATAATACCAGATTAGCCTCTAGAAATACATTATATTGATAAAATAAGAACTAACGATGACAAATTCAGTCTTCGATTTCAGGGTCCTAAAGCATGGGAATGATATAGATGATAAATATAAAACTCTTAGCAAATCATCTTTTAAGAATAAAATTGCAGAAAATATGATTTTCATTTACTAGCGCTGCCACAAGTATTCATGAATATACTTTTATAATTATACATATGATGTAAAACTCATTATTTCATTTATCTTACAAAAGGTCACCTGACTGGTTTAGTCTTTACTATTTCTGGTGACCTGTGCCACAATATCTACATATTTTAAAAAAATCATGTAATGTTATTTTACTTGGTGGTGTGAAATAAATTGTTCTTTGTTTTAATTTTTTTTTAAGGAAATGTGACTCTTGAAGTACCTGACAAACGTTCTGGTCTCATGTCAGAGTTTGCATTGGATCGTCCTATTTCTCTGGTCTCATGTCAGAGTTTGCATTGGGATCATCCTATTTCTCTACTATCGTCCTATTTCTCTACTTTCTGTATTTAATAAAATACTTGAAAAACTAATGTACAATAGACTTATAAAATTTCTTGAAAAACATGAAGTGTTTTTTAGCGGACAATTTGGCTTTCGTTCTAACCGTTCGACTTCTCATGCTATTCTTCTTATCACTGATAAGATACAAAACGCTATTGAAAACAAGTTATTCTCATGTAGTTTATTCTTGGATTTAAGTAAGGCTTTTGACACTGTCAACCATTCAATTTTAATACGAAAACTGGAGTATTATGGCATAAGGGGTGTTGTAAAGGACTGGTTTTGCTCTTATCTTACTGATAGAGCACAATACGTTTCTATCGGTGATACATCATCGGACCTGATGACAATTACCTGCGGTGTTCCACAGGGATCTGTTCTAGGCCCTCTCTTATTCTTATTATATATTAATGACTTTGGTAACTCGGCAACTGTTTTAGATTTTAACCTCTTTGCTGACGATTCTAATCTTTTTTATTCGCATAAAAGTCTAGAAACCGACTTGAATAATCAACTTTACAATGTTAACGAATGGCTTTGTGCCAATAAACTGTCCTTAAATACTGAAAAATCTAATTTTGTCATATTTCACCCTCCTCAAAAGAAGATAAGTTATCCAATAAACCTCAAAATTAATAATAAAATTCTGGAAGAAAAGACTAGTATTAAATATCTAGGTGTCATTATCGACAGTCATCTAAATTGGAAGGATCATGTGCACGAATTGTCAAAAAAAATATCAAGAAGTGTTGGGATCTTATTAAAGCTCCGTCATTTCGTTCCTATCAAAATCCTAGTACAATTATATTATTCTATTATCTACTCTTTTCTCTCGTACGGGGCTTTCATTTGGGGGAACACATACATTTCAAACATCCAACTATTAGTGATTTTACAAAAGAAAGCTATCAGGATTATAACGTTTTCTGAATTTCGATCTCACACATCACCTCGTTTTAAAAGACTGAACTTGCTGAAACTGATTGATATTGTCTATCTTGATACATCTTTTTTTATGCATCAGTTCAACAATGGCAATCTACCTAACAATTTTAATGATTTCTTCACCTCTGTTAATACTAGGCATCAATATGGAACACGTCTGGCTTCCAAATCTACTTTTTCACTTCCCAAAACTCGTACCAACTATGGAAAATTCAATATCAAATTTTTGGACCAAAAACCTGGAATGATATTAACGAATCGCTTAAATCTCTCAGTAAATTATCCTTCAAACGTAAATTAAAACAACAAGTAATTTCCGGTTATGATGATTAGTCTTTGCCTTACAAGGTGAATTGACAATTTTAGTAAATGGGTCATATATTGTTTAGTATTTATTGTTTAATGTATTTTTGTTGTAATTCGTTGAGCTTTGGTTAATTGTTTGTATTATTTATTTGTCAAATCTGCCTCTTTAATTATGCTTTATGTTTATATACTTGTCGTTTTAAAGGACAACTGTCTCGATTAGCCCCTACGGTTACTACAGTTGCTCTGCACTATACTGTTATTTAATTTTCGTTTTTGTAAATACTTCCCTTGTAATTGTTAATAGTGCTTAATAAAATTTGTTGTTGTTGTTGTTGTTGGGATGTGATTCGTGTACAGAGTCAAACAGTTTCACCACGTCAGTCAATGCTGCTACTCAGGGAAGATCACAGGATATAAATTGCAGTGCTGTTTACCATTCAGAGGAGACTGGCAGTGGTTATGAAGGTCTGGCATCTTTTTGCAGCATTTTTAACATGCCATGTGTGTCTGGCATGCTTACTACAAGCAAGTTGAAGGCATCATGGGATCGCTTGAAGAAGAAGCAAAGGAAGAGATGAAGCAAGCTGGTCAAAGGCTTCGGAAACTCATACTGGATGAAAACCCTGAACAGGCTAATGATGATGTACTGGATGTTGCTGTAACCTTTGATGGTACATGGGCTAAGAGAGGATTTACCTTGTTAACTGGTGTGGTGTTTGTAATTTCTGTTGACTCTGGTGAAGTTTTGGACTACCATGTACTGTCAAAGGTTTGCCAGATATGTGCTATAAAGAAAGTAAAGGTTACGGAAGAAGAATTTGAGCAGTGGTTGTTGGCTCACGAATGTGACATCAACTTTGTGGGAAGTTCTCCAGCGATGGAGTCAGAAGTCAGAAGGGGAAGATCAATAGAAACTCATAACATGAGGTACAAGTGGATGGTGAGTGATGGTGATAGTAAGGCGTTTAGTTCGGTGGAGGACATTTATGGTGATGTGAAAGTTGAGAAGCTGGACTGTGTTGGCCATGTGCAAAAGAGAATGGGGAAACACCTTTTGAAATTAAATTCGACAACTCAGGGCAAGCTTGCAGATGGGAAAACTATTGGGGGTCGTGGGCATTTGACAGAAACAAAAGTGCTGCAGCTGCAGAAATAATACCATAAAATGATGGAAAAGCAATTAAGGTGGCTCAATACAGTTTTTAAAACATTTAAGTGTACAACAGTTTCGCACTTTTAAACTTCATGTTTTTAGGTTTTATATGACGGATTTTGAGATGTTCGTCTATTTAAAGAGGCAGTCAAGTCCGTTCTGCGCATATTTTATGTGCATGCTTGCAAGGGCCCGCGCTATTATTCTAGCCTGTTCGCAGGCTATGTCACCGGTAATTTCCAATATGGAGGGAGGCACAAGTGGACAAAGCTCTGGCAATGAAAGGCAATCTCTTGAAAACAAAGGAAAATAATATTTAAAGCGAAGGGATGCTACAAATATTTGCTTATAGGAGCAATTTACAAGATAGCGTGAGTTAAAAGAACAGCTCCAAGTAAAGACCGACAAGGAGGTTGCAGCTTTATTGTTAAATAAACACTACAAAAGAGAGGAGGTATTTCAAAATTCATAGGCCTGTATAAGTGTTGTCTTGTGATTTTGACATGAGGTGCCATATTAACAGAGAGTCTAAAAATATATGGTTATTGGTTTCTTGCAGTGAAGTTTATATTCCAAGCGAAGGCGATGTTCGAGACAACACATACCAAGACGAAATTCGATCAGACACTGACAGCATGTGTTGGTCTCCTTCATTTTCAACTTGCCAAGTAAGTACATTCCCATACAGTAAAAGTTGTTGAAATAGAGTTGTTGTTGTGATGCATGGGGTCTTCCTGGTAGAACAGCACTTGTTTTCTTCTTGTGTTAGCATATTTTTGCACAAGCCACTCTTACACCAGTCGGGTATGTCATTTTGTGGTGGTTCATTTCTGGTGGTTCATGTTCTGATGGTGCATCAGGTAGCTCATCTTGTTGTAATTTTCTTGGTTCTGAATGTGCTCCACCAATTCCCCATTGGCTAGGTCTGCAAAGACTGCAGGTTGTCTCCTGAGTAGCTCAAGGGTAAGCCTTCGAAGGACGTTAACCTCAAGGTTTTGGACCAAATCCTGCAAGTGAGATTATATTATGTACCTGTCCTATATGAATTACACATAATTCGGTATAATTTCTCCCCCAGCAAAAGCTACTACAAACAATACAGGAAATATTAATCTGCCAGGGGCTGAATGCATGGACAATTTCCAGCCCGGACTGGAATTTCAGCCTGGTTGGCAAAGAGCAGTGATGAAGCTGGCCATAACAACTGGAGATAGTGGTATGCTAATTTCTCAAGATCTGAATAATTTGAAAACAATATTTCTAAAGGTTCAATGAAGTAAACACTTTTAAAACATGTAACCATGACCAGTTGCTATGGCCAACTTACACTGCTGCTATTTATCATACTTTAGCAGTTGGGTTGAAACCCTAAGTGTACTTGTCTATCATGCACTGCCAGGGCAAACAAAAACCATGTGGAAGTCAACATTGTCTGTCCCACAACAAACATCAAACAAGCTTTGTTTCCATTTCCTGGTGTTTTTAATACATCTTGCACTATAGAATGGATGTATGTTTTCTAGAACACATTGTCTGGTAGCAAAATATATTACATGAAAGGCAAGGGTATATAAGCTGGCTCGTACAACGAAATTCAAGTTAATAAACACCTATATTAAGTACCTGTAGTTGTTGATCGTGTGCAGCCATTCTCTCCTCTGAATGATCTTCAGCAACCTAATCCCGACCTCTTGCTCTGCCACGGCCACCTCGATTTCCACGTCTTACACCCTCTCCTCTGCCAGTACGTCTAGATCATCCTCTGCCTTTTTTCCACGAGGTCATCCGCACATTCTGCTTCCTCTAGATCTCCTGCAGGAGGTTTCTTTGTCAGTTTCCATGACTATTTGAGACCTTAGGTTTTCGTCTTCATCATCAAGCATATCAACCTAGGTTAAAAATATCCAAATTATATTCAAATATCATTCAAGGAATTGGTTTTATAATCACAAATGTTATATGTTAAAACTTACTGTATATTGGTCTTCAGAATCCGAATCACTCGAGTCGCTTTCCAAAGTCTTTCGTTTGTTGAGACATATCGAATTGTCACCATAACATGCTGACGAACAATACTGATCAATACCTTTGCATGGGCACGCATTGCGGCCACTAGATCTTAAACAAACTCCTTTGCAAGAACAAACAATTGCATTATCTACATTCGGTATTACTGCCGCTTGTTCGATTTTCCCTTTGTTCGATTTCGTATAATGAATTGGAAAAGCTCTCATCCATATTTAATATAGCCTTGTGTCACAGACGCTTGTGGGCGGATATGAGGACGCTGTGTTTAGCACCTATCACATTACACACACAGAGTATTTCGTAGTCTATATTTAATATTGCTGAAAACACAGTCTATCAGTAACTGTGCTGAAAAAATTAAATGAGTTAACATTGTGTGACAAGTACATCATGTAAGATATACTAAAAATGTAAACAAATTGCTTCATGTAAAAAATGCGCATAAAATATGCACATAACGGACTTGACCACCTCTTTAATGTTTTTTTCTTTCAAACTATGTTAGTATTTGTAACACATTGTTCAATGCTAATAGCAAGAAACATGTACAAAATTCACACTAAGCTAGCCTATTGGTTCCTGTAGTTCGAAAAATTGCACGGTACCCCCAATTTTTTAGTGCATTATTTTTCTTAGAGAATTTTCTAAGAATGAGCAAAACATAAAAAATTCTGTAATGCCAATTTCTTTAAACAGTCATTTTCTTCAATTAAATTTTTTTGGCATTACGGATTTTTTATTTTTGATATTATGAAAAACTTTTGCAATACAATTCAGCATGCAAAATTTGAAGATAAGTCACCAGACAAAATAATGAGATATAGTGCATCATTTTTCAAAAATTGAATTTTCTAGTGTCAGACAGCAAATGACATACAATACTATACTAGAAAATACATGCATGCAGAAACCCTCGCCTTGCTGACAAAACCGTTGTATTTTCCAAACAGGAAGTATGTAGAGTAGTGTATCATGGTAACATGATAATTTTTTAAGAATGTTCTTACAAATGAAAATCGCCTAAAAATACACTTTTAATTACAAAATTATCAATTTCCCAACATATATATGTTAGGTATGTAATTATACGTAATACAAGCTTCAATTTAATATTGATTCTCTTTTTTATTATATTGAATTTTTTAAATAAAAAATAAAGCATTATTTGCAAGCGAGAATTTGAAATCATTTTATTGCAAACTCAAAGTTTATCGATAAAGTCATTTAATAGTTAAAGGCAGTTTAGTTTTATAAAGAACACTTTAAAACGTTTTGTGAATTGTTTGTGGTTGAATTTTACCTTAAAGTTACACTGAAATTTATATATGCTGTCTTGTTTAGTTGCTTCATATACGCAAAGGCCTTCGGGTTTTTAAGGCAATTATAAAATCAATATTTAAAACAAACTTACCTTTGTTAACGTCGGCTCCCTTCTTTTAGCTGATTCTTTCGCCCTTTCTTTCTTGAAATTTACAAAATCTTGCAGAAATACGAGCAAAAATGAAATATATTTGCAAGAAATTTATCAATCATCAAATCAAGAAATGTTTGCTATTTCGCTGTCGTCATGCAGTCGTTATAATGGAATGACAATCCGCCATATTTTTGAGATCAGTGAGGATGACCACCCATCGTTGGTGACCGACGCCCGCGCTCATTGATGAACTTTAGACTTCGCTAATGCTTTCGTTTCCCGGGTGGAATTAGTCCCCTCATGCACCGCCGGCTCGGGGACTATATATACTATAATATATAACACACACAATGGTGTGAGCAACTCATCATGTCGGTTCTATTGTCAATAGTCCAGTATACACAGATATTTACACTGCATGGTTTGTTCGCATAGTAAAATCTTTTGTCCATGCACCAATTGCGCAATGGATTTTGTAGAATCAATATATCGAGCCACATTAAATAAGAGCATTAACCACAAATAGGGAAATTTCTAATGTAACATGATTGGGCAAACAGCATATAGCCCAAAATGTTGACTGTATAAAGCCAAGATAATTTGCTCTTCTGGGGTCATTTTTGTCCCTTGTTTTGTTGGTGTCCTAAGTATTTGCACAATGAAAACTTTTGGAACAGTAGACAACAACCAGCAATCTCCCTGTGAGTTTGGAAGGCCAAAGAACTAGGCTAATCTGATATGAGAATTATGCAAACTCCATTTTGAGCAAGTCTTTGCTTAAGTTTCTATAATGACAGAGGAAATCCTTGCACATTTTGATCTGTTGTAATGTTTATTCAACAAAGATTACTCCAGTGGAGATTTGTCAGACAAAAGTGACAGCTTAAAGGGATACGGCAATAATTTTTTTATTATTTCATTTTAAAGAACTTTTAAAATTATATGTTAATCTCCTTTACCTTTTATTATTTCTTGAAATATTTTTACATAAAATAATTTGCTGTCCGCCATCTTGGATTTTAGTGATGTCATAAGCAGGGTTAGCCATATAAAACAACATCTAAATGACCAAATAACATTAAATCTTGTTTGAAAAGTCGTCAGACAGTTTTTTATTTCAAATAGAGGTATATGATTTTGGGCTCATAATAACCAATTGCTCTATGGATAAAATTCTTGCGTGACCCTGCTTATGATGTCACATACATATCCGCCAAAATCCAAGATGGCAGAAAGCTCGCTGATTTGTGATTTTTTCTGTTCAAATATCTCAAGAAATAATAAAGTTACGCAAAATCGGTACAAGAGATTAACATATAATTTTAAAAGTTCTTCCAAATGAAATAATAAAAAAATATATTGCCGTATCCCTTTAATTGTTCGACTCTCCATCAACTTCTCGCTACAGCACTTCTGGTCAAAAATTAAGTGATACCGAAATGACACCACCACAAAAACCAAGACAAGAGAGCGACACTGCCAAACCAATGAGTGTCCCCAAGAATGCAAACTGGTTGCAAACTTCAAAATCCCTTGGCACAAATTCCCCAAGGCTATACTTGAAGCTTGTCAAAACAAAGTTCAACCACAGCCAAAATATCGGCAAGAGATGGTACATATCCTTTGTGAAGAAATTCAACAACACTGTGCCTTACCTGGACGAAAGACCCTTTCCAAAATTGCTGAAATGGTAGTAGAAAAATACAGCGAATCATTCCGAGATGAACTTGGGGGTGCAGTTGTTGGCTCTGGTTTAGATATTTGAGGCTTGGTTGTTCAAATGCTGCAGGTTAATGAAGGTTTGGTTATTTTCGTGGATAAAGCAGTTTATATATACACAATCTGATCTTTACTGTATGCCAATACCAAGACTGATTGTTGAATGTAAATGTGTATATCACGAATAGTAAATTCAATAATTCAGCTATTGTAACAACATATTGTAACAATAGCAACAGCTATATAGTACTTATGTTTTAATGTTAAAAAGGGTTTAAAATTCGGTTCATGGGTTGTAATATTATATGAATATTGTGGAAATGTTGTTGTCGAGGTTTAATATTTATACCTTTATTATTTTAATTAAGTGCGTAATTTGTGTACTTTCATGTTGCACTTATCAATGTAATCTAGTAATCATGATTACTAGATTACATTGATATCGAAGGAACTAGATTCTGTTCCGAAATATCACATACTTCAATCGACCTGACTGCATAGCTCAGCTGGCAGAGCATTGGGCTACTGTATTCCAAAGGTCGTAGGTTCAATTCCCACCCTGGCCAGGCATATTTTTCAAGCTTGCCCAGTGTGGGTATACAGAGTAACAAAAGAGATTAACACAAGCTGACATTGATCGTATGATTTTGGATTTTGCAATCAACAGACTGTTACCATTTCGTTTTGTCTTGTTGCTTAGCTTCAATCGAATAATAAAAGCTTTCTCTCCTAAATTTAATGCCATAAGAAGTATACTTTGGAACGAAAGTATGGTGACTTGCTGTGACTAT